GGCGGGAGCGGGGCGGGGGTCGGGGTCCCCGGCAGGCGCTGCTCGGATGTGCCTGGAGCTGGGCGGCTGTCGCCGAGATCCTTCCGCCTCGTCCCCGAGGGTGGCCGGTTCTGCCGCTCCTACCCGCAGCAGGCGTTCGTGGGGCAGGCCTAACCCCGAAAGGCGGGCACTTGTAACACGGGCACGCCGCAGCCGCTCGCTGTTGGTTCTTCAGGAGTTCATGGCGCACGCTGGACAAAGCGATATGTTCGCCTTGGCTTGCCTAGCCCTTCCCCTGGCTAGATGCTCTTTGATTTCAGATCACTGACAACATAAAACGCATGTATTTGCAAACTGCTGTTTCTACTTGGAGTTCTAGTGCCTGTTTTAAGAATTAGCCCGGAACAAAAAGGAAGTAGAAAAGACTGGAGCAGGCCAAGCAAACAATTTAGGTTGTGTTTTCATTCAGTCGTTCTTCCCAGTCTCTTTACTAACGTGACTGAGAAACTGGTTTTCTGGCTGAAAGAGCGTTTTAGGCACATGCAGCATTTTATTTATCACTAAGCGTGTCCTGCAGTTTCTTCAGACATAGGGGTACACGATACCGATTTTCAGACCAGGGTTGTGTAACTTACTGTAGGATCCCACATGTCATAAAGTTGTTCATTCAATCTCTGTATGATCAGCTGACTGGTAAGTAAAGTAGCTATCAACAGAAACTGTCAAATTGCTTCCTCATGTTTTCATTAGCTGTTCAGCGAGAGTAACTGACAAACTGAACTGAAGAGCTGATATTGAACCTAGGCTCTGATGTTCAGAAGCCCTTGCTCTAACTGTAAGAACAACGTGTCAATAAATACATTATGTCTTAAAGAAACTGCTACTGAAATGCAGATATCAGTGAAATTCTTGAAACGACGGTTCTTCTTTTTTCCAAAATAGCATTTGCTATCTTGTTTGAGAACATTCAAAATAAAGTTGTGTTGTAAAAGTCTGAGATCTGCTTATTAACCAAAATTCACTTTCTTTTTTGTCACAGCTGATGAAGAATTTGATGAGCTTTGCTTTGAGTTTGGTTTGGAGCTTGATGAAATTGTAAGTAATATTTTTGTGATTTACACCTTTAAACTATTTTGTTAATTAACACATTTTTCCCTGTGTTATCTTCTCACTGTCATACTGCTGCCAATGTTAAGATATTTCAAGTTAAAAACCCAGTTTTTGCTTCATTTCAGACATCTGAGAAGGACATTATAAGTAAAGAAAAAGGTGATGGAAAGGCAGAGGGGGCATCTGATGCCATCCTCTATAAAATCGATGTTCCTGCCAACCGTTATGATCTCCTTTGCCTTGAAGGACTGGTCCGAGGACTGCAGGTCTTTAAAGAAAGGTAATATAGCGTTGTGAGATTTGTTGTGTTTTGTTATTTGCTTAAATATGAGTCCATTTTTGGTCAGTAAATAAGCTGGTTGCTTGCTTGGCTTTTGAGGATTTTCCGAGATCCTGTAGATCAGAACAGGATCAGCTCTATCTGTCACATGTCTTTATTCTTCACGATTGTTTCTGTGGAGAGGCTCTATTATATGTTTTTAAAAGACTAGACTGTTACTTTTTTTTCTAATCTACTTTAGATTTTTATTCAACGGCTATTCCATTTGAGACTTATTCTCTGTAAAGAACTCCTGTAGAGGAATGTCCCTATGCTCTAGTAAATACCAATACAAATAATTCATTTCACTTTTCTGCTATGACTTTATCTTCCTAAGTGTTTTTTTTTTCTATTTCAGTTACTTATTTACCATCTAGTCATCATGTACTGCACCTAATAACATACTGTAGAAAACTTAAGCTTTTTAACAGTTAGCATAAATATAACTTATGCCACAAAGTTTCCTGCCTTTTCGAAACTTTCAGTTATAGACTTGTTTCCATTTTTATTCCAGGATAAATCTCCCTAGGTACAAAAAGATAATGCCAGCTAAGGGTGAAGGTCAGAGGCTGATTATCACTGAAGAGGTAAACGTGTTTACCTTTGTAAATATATTGAAAGTTTCTCAACCACCAAGTATGAACTATTAGTACCAATTTTATAAAAGCATTGAGACTGGAAATCCGGTTTGTAGAACAACAGCTAGCTAAAGAAATTTAATATTTTCTAGTCAGTGTGATTTATTTTTATGGAAGGGGAGGGGGAAGACCATTATACAAATTATTTGGGGTACACCTAGTAGTAGATCAAATCAAAGTTTTGGATGCTCACGTTGTATTGGCCTTCTGAGCCAGTACACAGTATGTTGAAAAACCTCCTTGCCTTACCAGACCTGGAATTAATTTCTGTGAATTTTCCTTTCTATTACTGCTTTACAGAACAGGAGCTTATTCTTCAGTTTTAGTTTCATACATTCTGTGCACTTGAAATTTATAATATGTTGCTGTTGTAAATTGCAGACTACCCACGTCCGCCCTCATGCTGTTGCTGCAGTCCTTCGTAACATAACCTTTACCAAAGAACGTTATGATAGTTTCATTGACCTCCAAGAAAAACTACACCAAAATATTTGCAGGTTAGTAGTATTTGAAGTAGTATATGTTGTCTGTGTGTATAATTTAATCACTGTGGTAAAACCATGTTGAGACTGCTCTTCCTTATTGCAAAGAGTTATTATATTCATATTCATGCTAAGGAGACTCTTTTATAGCAGCACTCTTGATCCTTCTCACTTGACTTCTCTCTTGTTTCTGCCTGCTCTTAATATATTTCAATACAAATAGCTATTATGACTCCTACAACAGTTGAGAAGGAAGCCCTTTGTCACAGTACCATTAGATTTCACTTTGACCGTTATGTCTATTGCTAATATTTGTATCTCATCACTAGCATGCAGAATGGAAATAATTCAAGGCTTATCAAAATTGATATTACACTTTTTCAGTAAGTTCTATGAAAATATAGGAATATAGAGCATCATGAGATACCACCTCAAAGGAACTCCAAATCCTACTGGTATTATTACTTGTTATTATTTTGCCT